CTGTTTTCGTTGATCGTTTTCGTAATTAAAAAAAAACAATTCCGGGTAACATTACGTGTTGTCTTTAAAATATACTAAATTTAAGATGAACTAGTGCATTTTTAGTCAATATAAAATGGTTCATTTGAGTTTATTTGTTTTTTTATGTAGACGTTTTGTAAACCATAATCCTCATGGTTAACTATGGGAACACGCTCATTTGCATATCATTTGCATCCATTAAACATGTGCGACAGTCATGTCCTTTCTCATGCAAATTAGAATCAATTGGGAAGCTGAAATTATTTCAAAAAGCACTTCTGAGCGGGAATACCTGTCAGTTATAATTCATTAATGTTCCTAGTGTGTCAAGGTCATAGTATCAGAGACGTAATTTGTATTTACAAACATTGAGTCATGCTGAAAGTTAGGGAATTGTCGGAATTTACCAAAGGGAACATTGAAAGCACTGTACACAGAAAAATTACTAGAAGACTGGGAATTTCTGACGGCTCCATATGTTTCAACCTGCGGTAACTTCGTCTGTGAGGTCTGTAAGTCTTGGCAGTCATCACCAAGTACATGTAGGTCAACCAAGGCATACAATCAACTCACTGGGAAAAGGTTGAGTTTGAGCACAATAAAATCAAGACTATATAAGGATGGTAATCTTCGAGGCAGTGTTGCTAAAAAGAAACCAAAACTGCAACCTTGACACATAAAAGCTCGGGTAATTTAATAAACCTATCTTGTAGTCTCAAAAATGAATGTGATATCTGTGGAAAAAAAGCATTATATGTCCGCACTTGAACTTGCAATTTCAATATCAAAAAACAAAAGTCAAGAGAGACAAGAATAACATTCAATGTCAACTGTCACCTGACTCAAAAATGTTTAAAAAAAGTTTACAAATCACTTCCACTGTTTCTTTCTTCTGCCTAACCAATTATTACTAATAGTGAACACCAAAAAAAAGTCAAGATGCAGACCCAAACTGATGTCACTCGATAGCTTTAGTTCATTGAGCTGATTGGTCGGAGAGTGATTTCATACAACTCATAACAATAATCCATTAACTGGTGAGAAGTGAAAGTATAGTTTGTGGATAAATACAGTCCATGATGTTACTTCTATCAACCAGCTGTATGGATAAGTGACAGTGAATTCTAAAAACTGTAAAGCTAATACTATGCTATAATGTCCATTTTGTGTGTGCTACTTACTATAAAATATTGGAAAGAATGATTCAGTGAAAATAAAATTCAGCGCAATACCTTTATCCAGTATTTACATTCAACTCGTCGAAAGATCCAGAAAGTCTTTTCAGCGAAAATTAATTCCAGCTAAAATAAAGTATTTCACAGTACACTGCTTACATTTGTTATATACCCTACATCTTCAGGTTATTATACTTAGTGTGCTGAAGGATCCTGTACCACGTCCTGTATACGACTACATCTTGAAATCGTCTCTAATTGATGTGTTGTTTGAGAGTCTGCATGACAGGCAGCTAATACGTAACATAACACGGGCTGGACATGAACCAAACTATAACCCAGATGAAGACAGTAATCTAGCACAGGTAAGCACTTCAACGCAGAGAGTTGTCACCTGTGCATTTGGCAAATGATCATAGCATGTCGTTGTTTATAAAAAAGCGTCTACCCATGAGTCTTTGTGTTTTAGCATG